CAAGAATCTATTAAAACAGCATATCATTAATTAATAATAATTATTATTATCATCACCTTCTATTCCAGTACATGTAGTACGTAAAGATCCTTTCTCAAAACTTGCTTTATTATAAGCTATTATAATGAATGATGGCATTACTGCAGCATATAGTGGATCACTTACTGCACTGGACTGTTAGGTCTTCACCATGACTGCAATCAGTGCTCTCTTCTGAAGGACAGGTCTGACAGTAGCCAATGCAAGTCTTGTCAGTGTGTCCACAGTACAAGTTATCCAGCCATATTGGTTGAGATCCATTACCACGACTGACATTAGAAAAAAACAAAATTAATAATAATTGATGATTGCTGCAATGAAAGCTATTTCATTGCTACTTACACTGGCAGTTTGTCCCATTTGAATGATTTAGTGTATCCAAGCTGAACACAGACAGTGTCAGCTTCATCATCATCAATGCCATCATCACAGACTGTCCCCCACTTCTTGTTGCAATAAACTTCAACTAGTCCTTCTGAGGAATAGTTACCTCGTACCAGTCGGACCATTCCATCATATGGATCACTCCAAATATCAGTGGTAGCTATGAAAAGATAATGAAACATATAATAGTGTTTTATGAAAATAGAGAGAAGAGCTCATATCTTACAGCATGTTACATGAACGTCAGTTTTATCATTGCAGCTGTTTGAGTCGGCAGGACTGTACTGACACTGAGATAACACTTGATACTGATCACTGTCACAATGAACGTCTTTAATAACTGCTGCTGATGTATCAACACCAAATCTACAACAATAAATTAATAATAATTTCGAGTAATTTCCTATTACAATAATACAAGCTCTTTTAAAAACCTTGTTAAAATCTTTTTAACACCTTGTTAACAGCTTGAAGTGTTTACGAGGTGTTAGATCAATTATTACAAGCTTTTGTTGCAGCATCAACTTACAAAGCTGCTCCATAAGCTCCAAAGGAATCAGCTCCATTGTATCCGAGTTGATAACAGACAGTGTCTGCTTCTCTTTGACCAAATGTTGTCTGATTAGAACAGATATTCCCCCACTGGTCATCAATATATATCTGTATGATACCAGCATTGGTGGCACCAGAGGCTACTCCTGGTCCTGTCTTATTGCTGAAGAGCCTTATGGTCCCATTACCAACCTGTTCGCCTTTAACACAACCACACATGAGCAATACAATGACACTTCTTCCTATCCTTACCTTGTACAGCAACAGGAGCAGCAGCACAGACTAAAAGAAGAGCAAAGAAAGAAGACTTCATTTTCAAACTCTCTTTGCAGCAAGATGCAGCAGGGCGGTGCTCATTATGACGTCATCGACTGCAACCACTCATGAATATCATTATAAGACAAAAGGAATTGCATGATGTGCTGGCAGAAGTATTGTCTCTTTATAATTTTTATAATGTTTATTAATTATGTTTGTTAATTAATAGTTATAGTTTGTTAAGATTTCCATAGCTTCAGTTTCCCGTCAGCAGCAAAAGTTGCTATGAGGTTTTGATGAGGATGATGAGCCAAACCAATGACTTCTTTATCGTGTGTCTAAGGGGAGGGAGAGGGAGGGAGAGGGAGGGAGAGAGAGAGAGAATGAATTTAAAGACTCATTCCAGTCCCTCACTCACCATTAGTGTTTGCTCCAGTTTCCCAGTAGTCAATGAAAAGCAATACAGTACATGATCCTCCCCCACACAGTAGACCCAGTCTCCTCTTGGGCTGAGGAGTGACGCCACAAAATCCCCTCCTTCTCTCTTCCCACTG